TTAGGACCGACATCACACACATCAGGTCTGAGTGAGATATTAGGACCTATAACACACACATCAGGTCTGAGTGAGATATTAGGACCTACAACACACACATCAGGTCTGAGTGAGATATTAGGACCTACAACACACACATCAGGTCTGAGTGAAATATGAGGACCTACACCACACACATCAGGTCTGAGTGAAATATGAGGACCTACAACACACACATCAGGTCTGAGTGAGATATCAGGACCTACAACACACACATCAGGTCTGAGTGAGATATTAGGACCTACAACACACACATCAGGTCTGAGTGATATATTAGGACCTACAACACACACATCAGGTCTGAGTGAGATATTAGGACCTACAACACACACATCAGGTCTGAGTGAGATATTAGGACTTATAACACACACATCAGGTCTGAGTGAGATTTTAGGACCTACAACACACACATCAGGTCTGAGTGAGATATTAGGACCTACAACACACACATCAGGTCTGAGTGAGATATTAGGACCTACAACACACACATCAGGTCTGAGTAACATATTAGGACCTACAGTATAACAAGCACTTCAGGTCTGAGTGAAATATTTATCAATCGTTACTCCTTTCACAGAGAGTAACTCTGTAGATGGACAAATACATTATAACTTGAATGTAGAATTATTTATTTTTATACATTGTGTTTGTAATTTTTGACACCTCACTTTTATATTTGTTTTTGATGTTTTAAATTCTAATTTAAACATGATTTTCCAACTGGAGTTAAGACAATTTTTCAGGGAGATAATCTACTGACACAAGGAGAACATGCAAGCTCCACTCCAAAAGGCCCCTTCTGGCTGAAAGTTTTTTTCTTTTTTTTTTTTTACAAACACACACTCACTACTCAAGTATCTTTTTAAATTACCATGAGTCAATATTTTGGCTATTCTACCCACCTCTGGGAATGTATTTAAGTTTGTGACAAAATAGGTGACATATGAGGACAAGTGTGTGTGTGTTAAAAGTGTGTTAAGGTAGTACCGTGCACGACCAGAGAGGCGCTTCAAACTTTTTGGGACGGAGTGTTTCGGCCCCGACACACATTTTCACTATTTGTAGACATTTTGGGACATGCTTGATTTTTGGTGTGGAGCTTGTTCTGGGCCTCTACAACACTGTAGTATGCATGGAAAAATGGGGACCTGAAAAAAGTCCTGACATTTCCTCAGGTCCTGATATTGAAGGTGTGTTATCATACAAAAGTCCTCATATGTCCACAAAACAAACGCACACACACACACACACACACACACCTCAGAAGGGCAGCTAAAACTATTTCAAGAAAAATGGAGGCCTTTCAAAAAAACACTGTATATTTGTCTTTCTAACGTGTCCAGTGTAAAATTGAAGATTTTACATTGATGATGGTAGCCCAGCTGATGATCTTGTGTCAATACAAATACTATTATTATTATGATCTAGATAATATTTCCCACAGTGATTTCGGCTGAAAAGAGAAAACGGTCTGCAGATGACGTAAGAAGTAGACGCATGTAGCAGCGTGCTTTTCTAAACTATCATTTATATTGTTTGAATTTACATATTGTTACTGAGTCAAATCTAACATATAGTGACCAACCTTTTAGGTGTTTGCAAAGTTACAAAATAAATCTAGCCTGAAAAGTCATCGTAATTTTGATGGATCAGTAGACACACAATGTGTCGTCTTATCCTTTTATTTCGGCTAGAATTACAATTACTTAGCATATTTAGACAAATAATTTACACAGTTTCATTAAGATCACGATTTCCTTGCAACATCAAGTTCTGGTTTAGTGAACAATCAATTCGGCAAAAGGCTGTATCAGCGCAAAATACATAGCGGTCAACTGACCGCAGGGGGCGGTGCAAGGTATGTTTAGAGCACGGCTGTCCTAGTGTTAAGGAATATTTCTGTAAAAGTGCCAGTTTTAGCTAGTGTGCAACTGTGTAAAGATCTCATTAAAAGACATAATAATTAGTAAACAAAATAAACACATATTTTGATTTTGTCCATATACAGTGGGGCAAAAAAGTATTTAGTCAGCCACCGATTGTGCAAGTTCTCCCTCTTAAAATAATGACAGAGGTCTGTAATTGTCATCATAGGTACACTTCAACTGTGAGAGACAGAATGTGAAAAATAAATGCAGGAATTCACATTGTAGGATTTTTAAAGAACTTATTCGTGAATTATGGTGGAAAAATAGTATTTGACCACTGATAATCTCCCTTGATCTGGGGCTCCACGCAAGATCTCCTCCCGTGGGGTCAAAGTGATCATGAGAACGGTGATCGAAAATCCCAGAACCACACGGGGGGACCTGGTGAATGACCTGCAGAGAGCTGGGACCAAAGTAACAAAGGTTACCATCAGTAACACACTACGACGACAGGGAATCAAATCCTGCAGTGCCAGACATGTCCCCCTGCTGAAGCCAGTGCATGTCCATGAAGTTTGCCAGAGAGAACATGGATGATACAGCAGAGGATCGGGAGAATGGCATGTGGTCAGATGAAACCAAAGTAGAACTGTTTGGTATAAACTCAACTCGTCGTGTTTGGAGGAAGAAGAATACCGAGTTGACTTTGGGGATGTTTTTCTGCTAAGGGGACATGACGACTAATCCGTGTTAAGGAAAGAATGAATGGGGCCATGCATCGTGAGATTTTGAGCCAAAAATCTGTGGAGGGAGTTGAAAGTCCGTGTTGCTCGGCGACAGCCCCAAAACATCACTGCTCTCGAGAAGATCTGCATGGAGGAATGGGCCAAAATACCAGCTACTGTGTGTGCAAACCAGGTAAAGCCCTATACATAGTTCCCACATGACGTCACTACATACGGGGATTTGCCGACCCGGCGCCATTTGAGTTGGCATGCTGTGGGCAAAACAATAGAAAAAGAAGCTGAAACGTGTTAATGTCGTGATAAAGTTGAAAATGGTCATCTCCTGCTGGGTCAATGGATGTTCAAATCGTGCCGGAGGTTCCGTTAAACTTGGATTTTACAGTATACCCATCATTAGACTTCATGAATGTGAGAAGACTAAGCTTTTGTCAGAACAACCACGGAGGTTATGGCTTGCGAAGATAAACAGGCAAGAAACTCCCTCAAAACACGCAAGAATATGCTCGGAGCACTTTGTGTCAGGTGCGTATCGTATCTTATAATGTGTTGACAGACGTAATTTACTCAGTACTAACTTGTGTATGCTGATATCTGGTAACTTGAGAGTTTCATTATTTAGCGTTAGATTACTTTATTATGAGGAGGATCGGTGTCGCGTCGGAGGCTCTCGAGGGCAACGTAAATGTATTAAATAGATAATAATAGTTCTATGGTGGGCTAAAACAATGTTCACAAACAGCATTGCTTCTGTAAAAAGATCTGTGTCATAAAATAAACTGCTCTTTACGCCTGGAAAAATCAGTTGCCCACCATTCACCAAAAAATACGATCAAAAACGCGGAAATAAACAATAACAGCAATCCAGAGTGTCCGTGTGGCATTAGCATTAATTAAATTAATTGTTAATATAATTAAAATAATTAAATGGAGCTCCAATTGGTATTAAATCTAAAGTTTTTGAGAAATGTTTGCATTGCTTGTTAATTTTTGCTGCATAATTTGATCAAATATGTAAAACATGTCCGAAGCACGTTAAACTGTGGTGCCATTGTATTAATATACAATTATTTGCTCAAAAGTTGCCCTTTTTTTCCAATTTGCGTTTGAATATCTACATTTATTCTCATTCTTCTGTTTAATGGTATGCACAAACACAGCAGCGTGCCATCAAAGATGGCGTCTCCGAGGAGGTCATGTGACATTCATTGGTCTGTGGGAACTATGTATAGTAATCGTTTGACCTCTGTTATTGCCAACATAGGTTATAGGTTATATTACAAAGTATTGAGTTGAATTTTTGTTATTGACCAAATACTTATTTTCCACCATAATTTACAAATACATTCTTTAAAAATCCTAGAATGTGAATTCCTGGATTTTTTTTTCACATTCTGTCTCTCACAGTTGAAGTGTACCTATGATGAAAATTACAGACCTCTGTCATTATTTTAAGTGGGAGAATTTTCACAATCGGTGGCTGACTTAATACTTTTTTGCCCCACTGTATACAGATCAGTGCCATAGACACATTTTTGCGCCATGATGAAAAACAAACGTCACGGCATACAAATAAATGTATTCAAAAGGTTTTGAGCTTTACAACAATGTATATCATGCCAATGTTGGAGAAGCTGAAGTTGACGGGATAACACTATACACTTGTGTTTTTAATCTCAATGGTATTTTGGGTTAGCAAGGCATAGGGCCACATAGAATGACAAAGTGGGCCACAAACTTTCAAATCACATTTCACATCTTTAGACCAAATTTTTCAGACATAAAAGTCATCCAGAGCGGACGGCCCATCAGCTCTCAGCCCAAAACATCAAATTCTGACTCACTGGGCTCTTTCTTAGACGCAAGTAAATGTTTTCTAATTAGATGGTAAGATGGTATGATATGATATGAATTGTTCAAAATATATTTTACTTTTCTGTTAGAAAACAAAATGAATGAACAACGTGTATTTTCTATGGTAAACAAAAGGAGTACACCAGCTTTAATTTAATGTGTGCTCCTCATTCCTACTTATGATGCAACACTGAAATTTTGCCACTGTAGGACGAATAAAGTATCTCTAAATCTTAATCTTATTATTATCTCGCTTCTGTCATCAACCAAGTATGGAGAGAATGGAAAAACTATATTAACTCTGAATATCTGGTATAGCGCTTTGGGTGACCTTGGTCTGTAAAATGTCCTATATAAAGAAACATTACTTATTTACTACCTACTTAATTATGTCATTAATATATTTTATGTTTGCAGCCCTTTGGTCTCCCAGTGTTATGTATTTGAAAATCTGAAACCTAGCTGTATTTCACTGAGGTAATGTTCAGTGCGTCAATCAGGTGAAGTCTATGTTTAAACACTCAAGTAAGTCTCTCACCCGCTGCCAGGAGAGCTGCGGCTGCGGTCGTCCCGTGGTCTTGGCAGAGAACTTGGCGGTCTGTCCTGGTTTGGCAGAGACCCGGCTCGGTTTGGTGATGAAACGGGGCGGACTCTCTCCCCAAATACTAGCTCTGCTCTGGACCGTCTGGACCGCCGAGCGACACCTGGAATCATGGAGACAGGAAATCATTCAGTTTAGCACAGTTTTGTGTGTGTGTCTGTGTGGAATGGTATGTTCATTTGTCCATCTGTGACACTGTTTTGGATATTTAGCTGCATAAATCATAAATGTCAAGACAAGAACTCAAATGTTAGTTCATTCAGAGGTGAAAAACATAGAAACACGTATAAAGGAACCGTTTTATTTGTGGGATTTTTTGAGGAAAGCTTGAATACAGCCAATCGTTACAAACACAACAATGTTCTTTCTGCTATAATAATCGATACAATACCAGTGGCTAGTTTTTATTGTTGTTTCAAATCTTAAATCTGGGGTTGCTAACTTTGTTGTTGTTTACCCCAAGAGAAAGAGTCTTAAAATGTTGTGAGGGTGTTCCTGTCGTTTTCACTTTTCTTTCAGTAAAAGCTGATTTTATGCCAATAAAAACATGCATATAAAAAAGTTAGTGTGTGTGTGTGTGCATAGCCCGACTTGACAAGCAAAACCAGTGGAACAATATCATTAATGTATTACTGAACTAAACGCGAGTTGTTTTTAGGCCTGGATCATTTTTTATTGTATTTTATGATCCCTCCAACAGTAAATGCACCTGTTAAACTGTTGACATCTCCAAACACACATGCTTTAACCATCAGCCTACTCCGCTCAGTCCAGTGTAGTGAGCCGAGTGAGTCCCTGTTTATGATCATCAGGCTGCATGGACACTACTTTAATGTAGAAACCATCAGCGGCAGCAGCAGCAGCCGCACACAGAGTGGAGAGACCATTAGAAGACGCCTGTTGTGCAAGTGAGCGGTTTACTGAGCTCCTCTTTAGGGCTGAGGTCGCAGAACAGACAGGAGAAAAGTGCAGCTTGGGTTGTCTGTTGCATTATTTATTCATCTAATATCAGTTCATCAAAGTAAACCACAAAGGTTATACATTGTGTCTATTTATTTGCACCAATTAATAGTTCAAAGAAAATATATGTTGTGAAATAATCTGCACCATAGTGTACTGGCAATCTGCTGGCCAATATTATGCATATATTTTTGGGCATTAAACATGACAATGAAACTATTTACAGTACTGTTTTAGAATGTGAAATAACATCTCAAGAAGAAAATAATACAAAATCAGGGTAATCAGGTCCCCTACCTCTGGCTACCACCAGGGGAAGATGTAGATTTTTCTTATTTTTTTCTAATTTTGAAAATTTGCAAACACAGACATCCGATTGTAAATATCGTCTAAACTAATTCATGAGCACAACATTTGTTTGAAGAGGCAAACAACTGCTCTGAGGGTCATGTCAGAGAGGTACAATGACATCATACTATAACAGGACCGAGACAACAGACTGTAGATAATGAACAGAGCATCTCTCTCCATGCAAAGTTATGGACTTCCAGAGTTGGAGCTTTAAAACGCTAAACCATCACAATGGACTAGGTTTGGGAGCTACCCCATCAAGCCAAAAGGCATTATGGGGTTTGTGCAAGTAGAAAATTGACGCACAAGTGGCATGAAGCAATGGTCCAAGAGCTGTGTTTTGAACCAGGCTCTAAAACCATTTTTGACAAAAAGAAAGTTGCCACATGGCTTCATAATGTGACTGCTTCTGCTTCAGAACTACAAGTCAGACTGCAAAGATAGTAACCCACTTTATAGCCCTGATTGGGCAGCCACCCGCTCCCGCTGACTGAGACAGGAGCTTGTGTGTGTGTGTGTATATGTGTCTGTGTGTGTGTATATGTGTGTGTGTGTGTGTATACGCATGTGGTTGTATATATAATTATAAATGTGGTTTTGGGGGGTCTGTGGGGAGGAGGGTTTAGGGCTGGGCATGTTGGATTGTTTTTAACTAAACTGTAAAGCACTTTGTGTTACACTTTTTGTATGAAAAGCGCTTTATAAATAAAATTTGATTGATTGATTGATTGTAGACAGAAGTGGCTGGGGTTGTATTTTTGGACCAGAAGTTCCTGATATTAGCATGGATGGATCTAAAAACAACTCCAGGTCTGTTTTTGGTATTATATGCCAAGATCCTGGTGCCCTGCTCCTTCCTACTCTTCCTTTTTGTTGGACCTTAATAGGAAAATTAAAGACAATTTCTAAAGCGGTTAAGGCCATCAAAAACATTACTGCCACAATTTTGAAGCCCCGTCACTCACTGTGTGTGCGTTTGTTTGTGTCAATACAAATACACTGGACACAAGCTGCTGTTAAAAGAAATGAAACACCACTATTATTCAGCTTGTTGTCTGATGTTTTGTCTTAAGAATAAATCAGCATTTACTAGATCATATGTATCAATAATCGATGCTACACATTCTATTTATTATTTGCTTTTGTTTTGTAATTCTGTCATTTTATACATTCAGAAATGATGATTAGACATTACGAGATGTGACTCTTACCCAGTTTTAAAAGATGAAGGTAGGCCATACTTCTTATTGGAGATCTCTGTGTAGGAAATAAGAAAACAGATCAAACCATACAATATACTAAACGTTATACTAATAGTACCTGACGTCATAACAAAGTCTGACCACCAGGAAGACACCATATCTAGTTACCTCTAATAACTTCCATATTATGTGAGAAGAAAAGTCTGGTTGTGTTTAAACTTGAATGACTGGGTTCATTTACGATTCGAGGCTCACAGAACACACGAACCTTCTTCATGAGTTACAACCAATTGGAACCAACAATGCTATAAATACATGCTAAAGGCTACATCCACAAGGGTTTAATAAACATGTTTCCAGGGGGGAACGGCAGAACACAGGGGGAAATAAATAACCTGCAGTTTATCAATGAGACAAAAGGTCAATGCGTGTCAAATATGTGACTTTACATCTTGTCTTTTCCAGTTCAGAATATCCAGATCTTTATAACGCAACCTAATAAGTGTTGTTTCCCTTCATAACAGTGAATGAAAAGATTTTGAAAGCACATTATAGAGGCCATCAACGATAATAGACAGGATTATTGCAGCTTTCAATAGAAGAATAGTCAAGTACTTGCTGGACTATAAATGTATTGTTTGAACTAGGGATGTAAATCGGTGACCGTTTAACCGGTGGTTGACCGTCACAGCGTTAACCGGTCAAAGCTGTCGGTTAAAAAAGAGAAAAGGGGGAGAGGGGAGGTCTTTTCATAACGCTATTTTAAGCCCTATTTGCACGATGTGACGAGCGGGTCCGTATCTAGCTGTGTGCGCTAATGTAACGGTAAACTCCGGGCCGACCCTCACGCCGCACGCGCCGCATATGCACGCACGCACACATATTTTCCCCCCCCTCGTAACACGTAACATCCACACGCATCATCTCTCCCCTCTGTTACCGCCTGCTAGTTGCACACTGGTGCGGGTCAGAACTACATTGGAGCTTATATTTACACACACATACATACATGTATTGCACAAACACACATAGCTTACATATACACACACACAGACATATACACACATACATACATGTATTGTACACACACACATACCGGTCTGTCGCGCTCCTCTGTGTCACGGAGCCCAAAGCATTCTTGCAAATACACGGCTCCAGTCAAACCACACGGACCATGTTTGTGCTGCTGGTCCTTGGCATCAGCTCCACACTGATCACTTTTAAACTTTAGCGGAGACCTGCGAGACGCGGCTCGTCACTCGCTGCCCTGACCATGTGGACGAGCGGCCTTTTTCTTAAAAATGCTTTAACCCGCAGCACAGAAGAATGGGAAGATTAAAGCAGTTCTCTGTGCGCAAAGGTGCCGAAGCTGTTGCGGGTTTTGGCGCCGCTGTCTCGGCTCTGATCCCGTATAACGCAGAGCTGCACTTATGAAAAGCATGCGGCTCGAAATGGCTGTTATTTCAAAGAACGTGGACTATTTTAAACTACGCGGTTAACCGGTTTCAACCGGTTAATGAGGCTCGGTGGTCGGTCATGAAAATTCATAGTTTTTTACATCCCTAGTTTGAACTGTTATATTCTCTGATCTGTGTTGGCAAATTCAACGGTTTTGTTCCTTCAAGATAACTATGGTTGTGATTTAGGGCTATTAAAGAATACATTTAATTTAATTTAATTGTTATTTGAGAGGGGCTGGTGCTAAATGTACTGGGTGCAGCTCTGACTGCCACCCCCCGACCCAGAAATTGATTAAGGGGAAGAAAATGGATGGATGGATGTTGTTCGAGAACTGAGCTGATGGTACACAATCCTGCTTCCTGGCGTGTTTATGTGAACAGAAGACTCAAGCAAGGAAATAGACTACTTGTTTTTATGTGATAAGGGCTGTAGTCAGAAAAGAGTTTATGAACTTATTAGTTTTGATCATCAGAGGCCGTGCGTTAAAACAACTCATCATTCAATCATATCGTCTCGTAAAAGCTATATTAAGGGAAACCTCAGATCAGATTCATTTATTTGCCATTTGCAGTAAAACCACATTGGAAAAACTGTGCAAGACTACCCCGGTGTGCGCCAGACAGAGAAGACGACACACACCAGAGCTCTTGCCACGGCGCCATCTTTCCGGCGCCATGCGACAAACAGTAGAATAAACAGCAGAGAGCAATAACATTCAGGTTACAACAGACAGTTGGATAGAAACATTGTGCTTTGTATAAACCACGGATTTTTTTCTCGGGATGAGCACCTCCGGCTGCCGGCCCAATGTGGCTGTCAGAGGGGGGCGGGGTCAGGGAGGGGGTGAGTCGGAAACACAGTGAGGAGGGGAGGGGAGGGAGAGATCAGAGGGAGGCGAGGGGAGCGGGATCCAAGCTGGAACTGACCTATACAGTATGTGGACAAAATTCACTTTAACATCAAATGGAGCTGGTGCGGTTTATATACAGCGGCAACTCAATAGTAAGTACTAAAAAAAGAACCAGTTTTTAACCCCAAATGAATCTATTATTCTGGTAGTTTTAATAAAACCGTGGTGCACAGAACTGATAGCACTGCCCTCAGCATAAAGTGAGTAATGGGAGCTAGTGTATGGGCCATTTCATATTAGATGAGATATTACGTTTTTAATACTGCAAATGATTGTGCCAGAGAGCTAGTAAATTACTGAAAAAACACATACAATATAAATACAGTGCTTCTAAACATGCACCAAAGATTGAATTCATAGACATTGATGAGGAAAACTGTGCCAAAATGCGCTCAGTTTTTGAATGGAGAAAAATGAGTTACCATCCAACAGGATCTCCACGGTAACCTGCCGACTCCCCGCCTGATTGGAGGCCTGGCATGTGTAACAGCCCAGGTCCTCAGCTGTGACTCCGCCCACCATCAAGCTAAACATGCCCCGCCCATTCTGTTTGGTGACGCACCGCTCTCCACCAACAACAGGCCTCCCGTCTTTGTACCATGTGACCTGTGGCTCAGGGCGACCGTGGACCTGAAGCAGACAAAGAGGAAATATATCAGCATGGCTTGTGTTGGAGGATGCACTTTTTTATTTAACAACCGCGAGTCTCTTCATGGATTAGAAAAGTAGACGGTGATGCTGGAAAATTGAAATAAGGTTATAACAGTACACAAATATGCACTTATCTTTCCCAATAAATGATTTTGAAATGGAAGACAGAAAATATGTTTTGCCAAATTGATCTAATAACCTGGTAAAATCTGATCCGGCCCTTCACAATAGGACGATCTTCCCAATGTGTCCCTAAGAGGAATTATTTGTCAAAGACAAAGACACACAAAAAAGGACAGTGGTGATTATCCAAGATTCTCAACATTCACAGTATTTATCAACTCTGATGGGCATTGGTCATCTGCAACTTACATGTTTTACATATTTGCATTTTTTTGTGTTTGAACTGTTTGATTCTCTGATCTGTGTTGGCAAATTCAACCATTCTGTTAGGTCCTCTGAGATAACTACTGTTGTGATTTAGGGCTATACAAGAATGCATTTAATTGAATTGAATTGAATTGAACAATGAAAGCGAGAGTGTGAGTCAGGTTTGCGGAGAATCAAACCCACTCACGGTGCATTAAACACATGTCTGATGAAAGGACTCTATTCATTTATTATTATTACTATTATTCTTATATGTTTATTTGATACGGACAGAACAAAAAGCATTGTTACAAATTACCGATTCCATCTTCCTAGGCCATATAGCTAACATCTAATTTGCAGACCTGGTCATTAAGAAATGATAACACATCACATGTACATAGATCATTCTCAAAACACAGATTACACAGTGAAAAATATGTAAAATAGACCGTCAGAGGTTTGCATTGCTCTCACGCGTTTGATTCCATTTGAGGTCTCCATCAGGTCTGTTAAAGAGTTCAAGATAGCTGTGCGGATTTCTCTCTTTTCATATTTTGCACCTTTTTTAAATCTAGTGAGCTGGATCAGGCTATTGGAATGTGTGGACTTATTTGAAACCTCCTTAAACACATTTGAGCATAAAACAGGGAGAGGAGAATGGATACAGTGATGGACCAAATATAACTTTATTTTCATATTTAAATAATGACAAATAATATTGCAAAAAATAGTAGTCTGTATATGCATCTAAAGCAGTGGCTCCTTGCTCAGCAGGTGGTGTGCAGATGTGCTGATGGTTTGATGTGAAGCAGGTCATGAACTCCAACTCCCATAAGTCCTTTCTTCACACATCACTCACTGCACTAACGCTGCTCTGACAAGGCCAACTCCATCCCGACTTGGCCACTGATAACAGCAAGCTCTTCGAAGATTGTCTTATGTTTCTGAGAATGTGTATCGCCCACATATGACACATGTTTTTCACTTTTCTGTCTGAAAAATCTGATCTAAAGATGTGACAGGTCAAACATACAGTACATGTTTGTGGAAACCAATGATGGAAAAGCATGTGTCCTCTGAGCTGGAAGTAGCTGATCCAGGACACAAGACATTCAACAACATTTAAGGACATTTTTCAACATTTGATGCTTTGTGCCAAAAAACGTGCATGGCTCTCATGCACGTGCCCAGAGGAGCACGGCCACTATCTGACCAATCAGGCGCTGGTGATCAGAGCAAGAGCGGGAAGAAATCGAGCGTGTTGCACTAAAGTGTGCATTTAAAGAAAACCAATGGATTTAAGAAGCAAAAAAGTTCAGGTCGGCAAGGGACACAAAAATCCCCACAAAATCCGACCTTTATGAAAGCTGAGTTCAAAGGAGAAAAATTCAGGGTAGCCCAAATTAATTTAGTCTGCAGTACCTTGGGAAGCCCCCGAGCACATGGGTCCTTCAGCTATAAGTTAGTAATACCCTATCCAGATATTATAATAGATCCATGATCAAAACTTAACCCCAACTTTTTATATACCTTTTTGTGCTTCCTTGATACAGTGAATGGAGAGACTTTGTAAGCACAACACACTATTGTTTTTACATTATACATGCTTCAGTTACATGCATCATGTACATAATATATTATATAATTTTCATTTTTTAAGCACCCATGTGAAGTGTGTTATAATAGTTAAAAAGAAAAGGAACTTAAGTAAATTTCAACTTAAATTTCAAGTGAAAAATCAGAAGAACATTACTGATTTTACACTTGAAAAGGCAAATTGAATTGTTCTTAAGTTCCAATACAAATATCACTTTTGACCAAAGTACCAACTCAAATCAGTCTTTTTTGTGCTGGTGTAGATGTGTGTAAGAATGTACAGATGGTCCATTGGGGCTGCGTGGGAGAACGGAAACACCTTCTGAAGCCTAAAGCTGAATTCCTGAGTGTGTCCATGTTTTGTGTTTCACCTCAGAACAATGAGCCTGATCTGTGCTCCACTGGTTCACATCACAAAACAGCTGCTGAGATCTGAGCAACTTTAAATAATCCTCAGCCCAGCAAAGCGCGTCTAACAGATCTGTATGGTCTTTTGGTCTTTTACTGGACGTGTTTTTGTAGAGAGCCAAGTCTGGGGGCAGAACCCTTATGTCCCATTATTTATTTATTGTATTATTTATTTATTTGAAAAAGGGAGTTGGCGGAAGCAAGAAGCTGATGAGCATCTCGATCCCGCAAACTCTTACAATCAGACGTTTCATATCACAATAAGATTGTACAGAACAAGGACACAAAAGCAGAAAAGACTAAAAGAGATTCTGAAATCTCAGTGCGACTTTCCTGGTTAAATGAAGGTCAACCAAACTTTTTAACTTTTACATACTGAGAGCTGATTGGCTAAGAGAGGACCACCCTCTTAGCCAACAAACAGATCAAACAGATCCAATGTGACAGAGCCCAAAAATACATCCTTGTATTTTTTTTTTAGAGCTTGGTCTAGTTCCTACCTCTCAAAACCGTTCAATTAAGTTTATTACATCTTTATTTCTTAGTGGTGTCAAAATGAGGTCCTCCAGCATTAGGACGCCATAACTGATGATTCCCGTCTTCCTCCCTTACCATTAAACGCCATGGCGGCGTTGTACAGGAAGTGCAATGTTGAACTGTGATGGCTGGTAGGTGCTAATCAACGCAACCAATGTTAAGCTTTAGTGGGCGTGTTTCTAAGAGTAAGTAAGTAAGAAGTGATGGATACTGGGGCTATGTGTCCTCACCTTGCCCTCCAGTCGGGCGTCTCCTCCCAGAGCGACCCGAGCGTTTCGAGGCGGCAGGACAAAAGCTGGAGGCTGGCTGCCATGGGAACCGCCTCCCGTCACTGTGGAGATTGCAGAGGAGGCGGAGGCAAGGCGCATGCCACTCATAGCCCTGACAGAGACACATAAATATATCATTAAACTCAAAAACAATACCAGAAAAATTTGTTAATTTTGAAAAACAGGCACTTTTCTTAACTACATTTCTATGATGAGTAGAAACAAAAGTGCCATTATATACGGTTTATGGCCAATGAGAGGGAAAGTATGTTCGTGTGTAGTTCAAAGACAAATCCGGGTGAAGAGATGGTCAGTGAACACATCTCCTTGTGACTGTGTGCACATGTATGGACTTAAAAGGAAACACGCTAACAACAGTAGAGCATAAGGTTTACATGACTCACTGAAGGATTGTGAGAGAATAATTAGCTTTTAACAACATACAGCTTTGTCACTCGCACACTCGCCATCAACATGTGACTCGGCAGGTCAACTCTTGAGATTTGAAGAAAACCGTTTTGTTTATATCCCCAGCTGTTTGGAATCACCAGTCTTTGGCATCAAGGCAAGCTAATAATAGATATGGCTCACTCCATTATCAATCAATCAACGTTTATTTATAGAGCGCCTTTCCTACACAAGGCAACGCAAAGCGCCTCACAACCCATATAACATCATGCATAAATCATCAAACATTAGAATTTAAGTAAACATAAAAAGACAGATTAAGAGCACAAGATATATAAAATCACACAAGTAGTTAAAAACCGTAAAACATTAAAATCACACAAGGGATTACAATCATAAATAATCATAAATAATCATAGCGCATTAAAAAGATTAAAGATAAAAAACAAATATAAAATCATTCACTTGTATGCACAGCTAAAAAGAACTGTTTTCAGTTCAGTTTTAAAAACTGCTAGAGTAGACGCCTGTCTCACACTCTCGGGAAGACGGTTCCAGACTCTAGCTGCATGAATCTGAAACGCAGCCTCCCCATGTCTAGTTCCGACTCTTGGCACTAACAGAAGTCCAGTCCCTGTGCTCCTCAGAGCCCGAGTTGGTTCATATGGCACCAACATGTCGCGGATGTACCCTGGTGCGAGGCCATGGAGAGACTTGTACACAAGTAAAGCTACTTTAAAATCTATTCTCTGAGCCACAGGAAGCCAGTGCAGAGACCTGAGGACCGGACTAATGTGGTCGTACTTCCTGGTTCTAGTCAGGACTCGAGCTGCAGCATTTTGGATGTACTGCAGCTGTTTTACCGCTTGTTTAGAGAGACCTGTGAACAAGCCATTGCAGTAGTCCAATCGACTGGAGACAAATGCGTGGATAAGAATCTCCAAGTCTGCTTTAGACACAATGTTTTTAATTTTAGCAATGTTTCTTAGGTGGAAGTAAGCTGATGATGTCACAGATGATATGTGGCTATTGAAATTTAAGCCATTATTACTCCTAGATTTCTGACCTGAGTTGAGGGTTTTAGGGAGAGGGACTGGAGGTGGCAGATAACGCTCTCTCTTTGTTTTTGAGGTCCGAAAACAATAATTTCAGTTTTTTCTGTGTTTAGCTGGAGAAAGTTATTTTGCATCCAATCACTCATTTGTTGGATACAGTGAAGGAGCGAGTCCACTGGTCCATGTTCTCCTGCTGTCAGGGACACATAGACCTGAGTATCGTCAGCATAATTGTGATAGGACACGTTATTACTGTGTATTAACCTACCCAGAGGCAGCATGTAAATATTAAACAGGAGAGGCCCCAGGATTGATCCCTGTGGCACTCCGCAGGTTAGGGCCAGATGGTCTGAGATACAGTTTCCGATCTCCACAAAATACTTTCTGTCCTGTAGGTAGGATATAAACCAGCTTAGGGCTGTTCCAGAAACACCAACCCAGTCCTCAAGTCTCTGAATGAGGATACCATGATCGACAGTGTCGAAAGCAGCACTTAAATCTAACAGGATAAGAACTGAGACTTTTCCTGCGTCAGTGTTAAGTCTGATGTCATTTGTTACCTTCACTAGAGCGGTCTCTGTGCTGTGGTGGGGTCTAAAACCAGACTGGAACATATCAAAAGAGTGATTGATTATTAAAAATTCTGTAAGTTGTTGATAGACAACTTTTTCTAGAATTTTACCCATGAAAGGCAGATTTGAAATGGGCCAATAATTTTTAAGTGCCAAGGCATCCAGACTCCTCTTTTTTAGGAGGGGTCTGATGACTGCCGTTTTCAGGGCCATTGGGAATGTTCCAGATTCAAGAGACATATTTACTATATGCGTGAGTGAAGGTAAAAGACTGCTCAGAACAGATTTAAGAAATCTAGGAGGTAATACATCCAGGCTACATGTAGAAGAACTCAGACTTGTAATTATAATTTGGACAGTTTCATTTTGTACTGGTGTAAAGTGTGTCAGCCCAAAAAGCTTCACTGGCTGTTGGATTGTAATTTCTACTGTGGAGGTGATGGCATTTTTGATGCCTTGGACTTTGTCATTAAAAAACTCTGCAAACTCATTACATTTGGTTTTGGAGGTAAGCTCTGATGGCATCTTAACAGGGGGATTTGTCAATTTATTTACTGTTGAGAACAGAACGCGTAGATTGTTACTGCAACCTTCAATTGTTTCGGAAAAATAAGTTTCCCTCGTTCTACGTAGCACACTGTTGAACTTGCACAATGCATCTTTGAAGATCTCATGGTCAACTTGGAGATTTGACTTTCGCCACTTCCGCTCGGCTCTCCGGCACTCTCCTCTTCTGTAGAAAGGCGAAGTCGAAAAGAATAACTATTTCAATGCCCTGAAAGTTTTTATTGTATTTTTTATTGAATAATTGAGATGTCCAAATGTTTTCCCTAGATCATTATTTAACACTAGAATTCCTAGAACAATAATATTGACGGCATAATTTCACGAGTGTGCCCTGACAGAGTCTGTCTATACTGTGGTCTATTTATCCTAATGCGTACTTGTAAGAAAAAGATTAAAACATCTTCATTATCAGTAGTGTTTTCATCCTATGGTAACAGAGAAATTGGATTAACTGTATGTACAGTTTTTTTCGCGGTCGCTTTGGTGCATTCTTTTCACATCTGTTCTTTCACATTTTCACAACTGTGGTGCATTTTCTCAGAACAATTAGTGCAAACTGCAGAACCTCGTGTATAACCTCAAAAGTGCGTCACTTTCTCCAAAAAGAAAAGTTATGTCCTCAATAGCAAGTTTCCAAACGTCCATGAACTGTCTGTGACGTCAAAATAATATGTCCTAACAACATTGAGTATGAACATCAACAGTCAAATGACTTAGACATGTTTCATTGTGAAAGTTTACTCTCTCTGTGATTTTCAGAGTAAAAAAGTCAGATCTCGGTGACCACTTGAGGCACGACTACTGTATGAGCACAACATACACTACCAACTACATCCAATTTTACAGTAAAAACAACAGTAAAGTTACAATCAAAGACTGTATTTAGAGAGTTAACTGACAATTCTGGTACATATATGGTATATGTGTAAAGTATGTATGTATGTGTGTGTTCTATGGTTATGTATGTACAGTATGTATGTGTGTAACTATGTCTGGGTATGCACTGTAATGTAATGTTGGGTATGTGTGTAACTATGGTATGTATGTACAGTATGATATGTAATGTGTGTATCTAGTATGTATGTACAGTATTATATGTATGTGAGGTATGTGGTGGTATCTATGTAGTATGTACATATGTATAAGTTGTATGTATGTGTACTGCATATGCTCCTTTGTATTTTTTGTTGCACAATGCTGTAGAATTGCAGGCACATACAGTATAACTGTACATGTAAGTATATACATAGAACAAACCCTACAAGAAATATCATTAATGTAGAACTGTGACAAAAATGAACAATAAAGCATACCTCGCAGAGTGAAAAGCTGAAATTCACCTGGATCAATTGTTCAATTTAAGAAAGATTTACAGGAAAAAAAGATGAAGTAATGTCTGAAATTAGCTTGACAGTTATGATTTTGAGAACTAGGTTCAACAATTGTAATTGATGACCGAAAGCGATGAAATGAGTATCAGTTAGTTTTATAGTGAATGACAATTCAGAGAGTGAATAAGTGTGTTTCATTTTGACTGACAGGACAGAAGCAAATGATGATGTTGAAAAAAACGCTGAGAATTGATGAAAAGAGTAACTGGATACATGAACATAAGCATTTGAAATGTGTCAGAGAATGAAACTGCCATGAATGCATGTGCACCAAATGACCCCAATTTGTGGAAGTTTTGAACAAATAGTTTTGAGAGACTTTAGTCCGATGTGAAAACTTCAACAAAGCGACTGAGAAAAAAACTGTAAATCATTTGTCCTTGTTACCAGAAAACGTGAGTCATGTAGGAGGGGAAGTTACTTACTTAGTTGTTCCATAACTTCATTTCTGTTGTGCAAAAATATAGTCCTAATTCGTCTAAACCTTCACTCCCCAAGATTATGATAAAGGGTCAAAATGTAGTAAATCATTTCCTCTTAGAAGGGTGTTTGAAAACAGTAACAGTCTGATCACCGAGACTCTTTATTTATTAAAAGTTCCACCGCTTAACTCGTCTGTGACGGGTTGATCTTTCCGAAAGAACGTTAGTCTTCACGCCACAAGTATTTGCAATAAATTTTTTTTAATGAAAAAAAAATAGAATCTGCAAATTGCTACATGAGGTTGTTTTGACAAAAATGCACACACATGGTATAAAAGTAATAAAATATATCAATACAAACTGGTCCTCTGGTGACATGCTCTACTCGTTGTTTGCCTCCCAATGTGTTAAAGCAAATAACACAATATTGTTTAGCTTTATCAGCACTTGTCCATGTCCTGAAAGCGGCATTTGAGTCTAGCTGTCCATGGATATCTGTGACTTTGACGTGTTGGAGCAGCTTCGCCCTTGACAAACCTCTTCATATGCTGCATTGATGAACTTCGGAATGTTCCTTGCGAAATAGTACACCACACGGAATCCAGATACAGTTCAGACCCCAACTGCACCAAAGTCACCTTGTGCGTCGTTGAGATTTTGTAAGATCTGGTTGACATTGCTACG